ACCTCCCCCCCATCGAAACCTACAAGCCTCTAAATACCGTGGACTTCAGAGAGAAAATGGATTTAGCTTCCTAAATATTACTTTTACATATGCACTGGAACAAACTTTTGAACAGCATAAATCACAAAACATTATACTCTTTTGACACCATTTCCCCAAAAAGAAAAGCAAAGAAAGCAACCCTTATTGTATTAGAGATCTTTGAAAGTTTATAAATCAGACTGAAAAAGTTTGATTTGAAAACATTCATCAGTGTTTTTGCTCCTGTTCTGAAACCCCTTTTATATCTGGATGAGTCCGGCAGCATCACAGATAATTAAGATTTTAATTGCCATTTTATCAGCTTTGAAATGAAACTCATTTGGACAACATACAGCAATCTTTAGACTCACACACCCCTTTGCTTGTGTCAGCTAACTGGAACTAGAAGGGTTGCCCATTTAAGGGAAAAAGTACAAGCTCCAGTCTATTTCCCTGTGCTTCGGATGTGTTTGTCCCATTCTCTACTACTTGCTAAACAGCTTAGGATAAATCACGTATTTTAACAGCTGTATACCTATAGAAGAATGATTTCAAACTAAGATGCAATTGCATTTTCAGGATATATCCTCTTAATTGTAGGAATTGTCTCTATATTTGTGAAGCGTGTAAACTATTTTGGAGGACACTACAACCTATGTAATCTTACATATAATCTTTAGAGTTAGCAATTTCATGCTTTACTTGTGGAAAAGATTTAGAGAGAAAAGTCCAACTAAAGCAGAAAGAATGATAAGGCAAAGCCATCCCAAACTTTTTTTTTTAAAGAAAACACCTGTCCCAATGGACTTTGTGTTTCCATTGATATTAGCACTTATTTTGCTATGATGGTAAGAATAAAAAGGAATACAGCAAGTGCAGATTATCTATAGAAGCTGAACGAGTAGGTGAAAAGACCCAAAATAAAAGAAAAAAATCTAATCAAGTATCCAGAAAGGCACAATTTTCACAAATATAGTAGGTGTCACACAATCTCCAATATTATCAGAGACTCCCACTACCTCTCCTGAACAGGAAACAGGCACAATTGTTCCTGTCCTTTGGACACCAGTACCCCCCAAATAACTAAAGGGATGTGTTATAAATGCTTTCTTTTCCTAGGATCACTAACTCAGTACAAATACTAGCTACCAGATGAGCAAAAAGAGAGGCTAAGAAATCTTAATTCTTTATGAAACAATTGTTTCCTAAATTATCCAATATCTTCCAATATCAAAAGCTTGTATTTCCCCACAAAATTCCCAGTATTCTGTATAAAATTAGGAAACAACTTTCAGCAGAAACACTAAGAGATATCAAAAGAAAAAAGCTAAATGAAGAACACCAGGATAAGATGATGAAGCTGAGAATTATAGCTGTTTGTGCTTTTTGTAAAGAAATATTTAAACCTTCCTACACAACAGTCCATCAATATTTTATCTCATACACTATTTTATCTTTCTAGCTTTCAGTTCTTAGGTGTTATATACTAAGTATTATCGGTGAAAAAAAAGAAGTAAGAACAGATGGAGTTCCTTCTCCTTTGTTTTGTTGTTTCATCTAACTTCTTCACAATATTGTAGCTCTCTTTCTCTAAATGGCATTTTAGACACATAGAAGGACAAAATCCCCGATCCCAAATTCAGTTTATTTATTATAACAGTATGTCAAACTGCAACAACAGACCTTGAGAAAGGAAGGGAAGAAACAGGAAATTAACAGAAAAGTAAAATGTCTCTTAGGAAAAAAAATATTTGGACAGGAATATAGATGATCCATTTTGTTAAATGCTCTTGAGGGGACTGGGAAATTTATATGTTAATTACTGAACACTAAGATCTGATCTTATTAAACTAAAAGGACATCTCATTCTGAATTCAGTGGCATAAACCTGACCTCTGACTCAGCACAGCTCTGAGACACATTCTTAATTTATGCCTGGGGGCACATCAAATGAGTTAGATGAGATTCCCAAAAACCTTGGATTAAGCATGTGTGGAATCTGTGCCAAAAGAAAGATCCTGTATTAGGAGTTTTACCGATAAACTTGTATCAGTAAGAAGTTTTTAGTAAGGAAATGGCTACACTGGTGATACTGTGACCCAGAGGAACAAAACAGGGCATACCAGTAAAAGTAGAGATTTCCCAATATGCTTATGCTCACTTCATAAGCTGCTTCCGGGAAGAATAGCTCTATCTTCAGGAGCTCTACCTTGGTCGACACAGCTGTGTTAGCTGAACCAGTTTAGTCCTTCCATGATGTTAGTGTCAGGTGCTACAGTGAGAGGCACTGTAGAAAAGTCATATGTCATTAGGTCAATTTCAAACTTACTAGAGGTGGTGGCACAGAGGATTGTCCAGTTAACACCAGAGCAGAAGCTTAGTAGTTGACCACATATAAGCAGGAGGAGGATGGGAAAATCAGTGCAGATGTAAGTAGGGACAGAGCAGTGCTGAGTTTTGAAGATGAATTTCAAGTCTTTGAATTTGGTGTTAAAAAGAACCAGACGTTCTATAAAGAGACTGAAAGACTGAGGTGATGACAAAACACTCAGTTAAGCTTATTACTTTAGCTGTGGCTAGATTGGCTAAAAGCAGCTATAAATTATTATATTGATGTAATGAAGGTGAAAGAATGAGCCATAGGCAGAACTGGAGGTGGATTCAGATTGGGAGGAACACACAGTCTTTAGCACCGTGAAAGGCGACATTCATTCTACAGTTATAGGAATATAAACAAAATCAAAATAATAGGGAAAATAAATGGGTATGCTATGTCTACTTGTCCTCCAAGAAAGTCTCTACAATGGAGTGTATCGCCAAAACCAAAATTACTTTTTGATTTGATATACAATTGAGCTTGGTTTCACTGTAGTCATTAGTAGAATTGGCTAGTCTTCAAATATGAAACCATCTGTTGAATAGCCACATTACATATTCCACAGATTTGATAGGAAAATCCCAGAGCCTCTTTGTGGACACCTGTTGAGAAGAGTAATTTTAGCCTCCTCCTCCATTTTGAAGTGGAAAGGAAGACAGATGTATGTAAAACCACAAATCCGTATGTTAGAGTTGGAAGTCGCTATCAGGCTATTCAAAAGTCACTTCATGGGACAGTTATCAGGATAATAAATTTGCCTTCTGTTTTTAAAACCTTTGCTAAAAGAAGTAAATTTTGAAAGAAAAGCAGTAAAGCCATATATTATGCTTAGCAACAACAAAAAGCAAAACCCGGTCAATAATTAGCATAGCATTTTCCCAGGTTTTTTCACCTCTATATATTTAAAAGGTCAAAGCTGCCATTTCTCCACAGTTTATTGTTTGCCAGTTAACTCAGCCAAAAGAAGAAACAGTAATTTTTACTCTAATGTCAAGATGACAAAAACTGCACAAATTATATTGTCCCAATTTTAGTTCTCACTGTACAGCTTCCTTACCAAAAAAAACTTTCTCAGGATATGTCCATATTAAAAAGTAATACCAAAGTTTCCTTTCGAGATTTAGATTTGGGATACCATAGTGCTGTAGTAATTCCACAGTTATGATCATCACATCAAATCACAGCCACCAAGAAGCATTCCAATTTAGTGATTAAGTAGTGTGCCCCTCATGAAATAAAATGTAAACTATATTATTTTTCCTTTTAAGAATTTTCCTCCATCCTAAAACTTCATTTATCTTATTGTTTCACAGGCAGTTACATGCTCAGCCACCAAGTGAAAACTGCGTCAGAGTATTTTAACTTCATCCAGTCTCTAAGCATGTCACTGCTAAGATGTGGTATTGATGTAATTATTTAGTATGCAGAGATGAAACTAAAATTATTTATCCAAAGCAAGACCTTCTCATCTTCCTGAGACAGCCCCAGAGGCCACAGACTAAGTGTCAAACACCACAGACAGCATCGAGACGGTCAGTCCATTCCTTCTTTAGGATAAATATTTTTCATCTGAGACAATTCTACATATATCTGTGAACAGGGTTTTTAGACGAGTTAAGTGCATTCTTTAAATCTTTGCCTTCATAACTGAATTCACATTGAATACAAATTCACAACCAGTACATCTTTAAAAAATTCATACATACTAGATATCTTTTGTTTGGAGAAAATGGCTTTAAAAGATGGGGTGGGGGGACTCACTCTTCGATTGATCGATTGGCTTTTGTCAGTGTAGATAAAGCAAATCATACTAAGCAATTCCCCCCTTAAATTATGTGACCGTTATGGAATCACAGGATATGCATTTCCAACAGACAAACAGGCTCCCATTCTGCTGTCAGGGTAAAACATCTGAGAACTGGTTTCTCATATATTTTTCTAAAAGAAACAAAGACTTTAACAACACTGACCCAGCTCAAGCACACCTGGGCACAATAAACATAAGGTCAGTCTTTAGGATGGTTGCATTATACAGCTGATCAGTCGAACAGAGATTAATGTTTGCTCTATGTAAATAACTGTAAGAGGAAGAACCAAGAGCTATAGTCCCAGGGATAGCACGGAAAGCACCAGGTGTGCCTGTGTGCTGAAAGTTAGTATGGAAACAAAAAGTACAAATGCGCTGGGTCACAAAATATTCAGTTAATTCAGTTACTGAATGGCTATTTCCTCTTACTTGTCACCCAGGCTGTCACTATTTTCAATAGCAGCTAGACAACCAGTGGTAAAGGATGATAGGTATTCTACTCCTAAATGTTGGTTTGTCTTCTGTCAGCATGTAAGCAGGTATAAGCAAGATACGTGTCAAAATCTACACGCATTTCTTCTCATATTGCTACTAGCTGCTTTAATATGCTCGTTCTAAGAACTGTAAAAGTTATTTCAGTAATGTTCTGCTGCAATGAAAGTGTAAAAATAAAACCTAAAATTTTTATCCCAGTTTCCTAGAATATTATTTATAGAAGGAAAGACACAATAGTCATTAGAAAAGAAAAGCACTTCTTTTAAAAAAAATGCATTGGAGTTGTTAGCTCAGTCTTACCTGTCAGCAACACGAACCTAGGAATATATCCTTTACACCGCAAGATCACAGTAGTTCGTCCCACAGCACTACCACAGTAACAGACTGATCCAGCCCAGAGGAACACAAAGAGAGAAACTTTTCCCCCTTTTCTAAGTCTACCAGCAGCTGAAGAACTGAAGGAAATGGGGTAGAGAACAGAATACCAGAGCTGCTTCTCGCAGAAATCCCAGGCAGGAGAAGTAGGAGGAATACTCTGTCTGTGTCTCACCCAGACTTTTGTTTAAAAGTTTTTTCAACTGTTGCTAGGTGGTGTTAGGCTTTGGCAGTTTAGTTCTCAGATTGTGTTTCCCCTCTTCTGGTCTCTTCACACAGTGTTACAGCAATGACTTTGTTGAGCTCAGCTCTCTTGTGCTATATTTAACCAGTGTTCTCAGCAAGTCAAGCCTGTCAACAGCTGAGAAGTTTGGAGCAGGCTTTGCTGAGTTCCTCAGCTGCTGAATTATCAGTGGATGCAGCCCTGCACAGCCCAGCTACTACATTCACTGAAAGATTGTGGGGAAACTGTCAAATCCTTTTAAGGGCTTCCAGTGACTTCACGGGAGTAATTACTATTTAAAGCACTAAGTACAAGATGTGTATTTAGGCATATATTTTAGACTGCTAGAGAAAGAATACTTGTGTTCACAGCAGATGAGTTCAATTATTTATACAGTGAGGATTTTCCTAGGACAAGTAGGAAGTTTATAATTTGAAAGGTATGCACTTCACTTGAGGAAAAATTAGATGGAGGGAGAACTTTTGAAGCATAATTTTTACAGAGTTTAAATATATTAAGACGACATGGAGAAATTAACGAAAGGCTTAGGCTGGAAAATTTTCAGTGCAATATTTATTCCAAAGACGACCTTTCTCTCTCAGACCAAGAACTTCCTACACTAATTCTTACTCTGTCTCTAACTCCCACTGAAGAAGAAAAGGAAAGCCACAGAACCCCAAATTTATTTAATATCAGTATTAGGAGTGCATTACTCCAGGGCTGTATACATTCTGATACATCCACACTTGCTTCTGGATCTAATTTCTGTTACTAATTCTAAGCCGTAAGTCTTTTAATCAACAGACCAGCAAGTAACCTTGGGCAGCTTTCAGCTCACAAACCATCATGGTATCAAGATTCTCCAAAGATGTTGCAGATCTCAGACTCCAGAGCGAAGTTCTACCACCTCGTGGCAGAACAGCCTCTGTAAATGTCTCTGGCAAGGAAAATCCCTTACCCCAGCAACTCCCGTTCTCATCTCAGTGATGTTTCAGAGTGAAATGCAGACTGGGTCTTCTTTAGAAACCTTTTTCCTAGTGATTTGTGATATTCATCTCAGGTTAGATGAAGAGGAAGGAAGGAAGAAAAGGAGAACGGGAAGAAAAAAGCAGTCTAAAAAATTGCCTGTCGATACTCATACATGGAGACATTCCAACCTTTCAGAGTAAAATTAGATTCAGGTAAATCGTAGTGGTACCCTTCAGGGATGCTGGGTCACTGTGCAAATAATAGGATGGGTAGTGAAAAGGTATCATGCTCTTTGTGGCAATTTCAGCATGTGGGAACCTAATTGGCCACAACTACATACCAGGCAGTTGGTACAAGCTCTCATGGGAAACAGCTCTTCCATTGCATCAAACATATTTTATTTTGGAGACAAAGTAATAATCACTGATTTCATGTTGTCTATTCCAACGTTTGACTTGGACAGGATGCCTAGAATGTATACAAACAAAAGCACTTGTATTTTACAGAACCAGCTGTTTGGAAGAGACAGATAATATATTGGTACAAAGCTTGGTGTTACATGCTTAGACTTTGAACTGAAGTGAGTCACATATATCCATATTCTAAAAAGAACATCTATTTTTGTTGCCTCATATGAAATTAAGGTACTCCAAATCAGATGAGAAATGTTTTAACTATTTTGGCCTTAACATCTTGCTTAAAGTGCAATATTAATAGTACTTTATCCATTCAAGTATAATAACTAAGGCAAACAAAACAATTAACTTGCCTCATAAATCTCAGAAAAGAACAAATGATTCTCAATGTTTCTCTCCCATTAGTTGGTAGCACATTCACAGAGTGGAAAACAATACAACATCTTAGGAGGCAATCTCTGCTGCCAGCCCTTCTGGGTGGGTTTCAACAGTGACCTGCTGATGCAACGCTGCTCATTCTTGTACACTTGCAAACTTACTCCCCAGCTGTGCACCAGAGACATTAATCCTGTAACACAGTGGGAATTTCAGCAAAAATTTGGGGCAAATAGAAGATTTTGCAAGTGAATCAAAGAAAGTATAAAAACTTCTAGCATAGGAAAGACTGTAATTTATCTGCATTACTGGAAGTGTAAAAGTTTTAACTTTGAGAAGAAGGAAAATGGTTAATATCTAAGTATTTCCCCTACTCATTGATGGAAAAAATAGTTATAAATAGATAGGTTGTGTAGGCTGGCAAATAAGAGAAAAAACAGAACGACGAGACGTATTAGTTTGGCATTTTACATTAGGTCCTAATGTCAATATATGACACCATCCTAAGTCCTAGTGACCTTCTACAACTAAGTCTAAAAGGTGACTTCCTTATAATTTTTCATAATTATGTTGTCTCTTAAAGCAACTAGGACACTAGAGTCCAAAGTAAATAATTCTAAGAAAAAGTTTTAATGGAAGCCAAAGCTCTTGGCATTATTTCGGTCAAAGCAAGGCAAAGGTAAGGGGACAAAATGTGGCTCTAGAGAGTCAACAAGAGCAGCAGCAGGACCTGCTGCCATTTTTGGAGGTAATGTTAGTCACAGATACAGAAGAGGGAGTGTCATTGCTCACATTATCGTATTTCTCTGTACTTTACTGGAAAATGGAAGAAAAAATTTTATGACCTGAGCTGATCTAGAGAAATTCCAGGTTGGAGGCAAAAGTTGCTGGCAGAACATCCTTCTTTTACTTTTTTCTTTTTTCTTTTTAATAGAGAAGATCAAAACAGATGTCTTCTTCTGACCTCACTGGTCCCTCTTAATCTCAAAATTTGTGCCTGTAAATAAGCTTTTTCCAGAACATATACAATAGTATTACTATACAATTTTTATCTTGGCTATCCATCACTGCACTGTATCTTATTAACATAATTCGTAGTGGCATCTAGAGATACAGCCTTCTACTTTTGTCCTTTTCAAATATTTTATTTCATAATTAACTAGACCAATGTATTAGAAACAAATCTATGTAAATCTATGTAAGGGGGCCGGTTAGCTCAGCGGTTTGAGCGCGGTGCTGACAACAATGACCAACCCTGAGGTCGTGGGTTCGATTCCTGCTCGGTCCCCATGTGTTGCCTGGTCTAGTCGAGAGGTGGCGTCCCTGCCCATGACAGGGAGGTTGGACTAGATGATCTCTAAGGTCCCTTCCAGCCTAGGCCATTCTATGATATGATATGTAAATGGGCTTAGAGGTTCTTAACTGTATGTCCTGAGGAGTCCTACTATGTGTATAATTCTGAATGAGCAATCACTGTCAGTTCTTCATTAAGTCACTCCTTAAAATGCACTGAACTAAGAGTCATTAGTGTTGCAGTTTCTAAACAATTAAATTTTCATTTGTTTGAAAGGTGGTGCGCCATAGTCTTCTGACACTCTGCTTTCATAATATTTATTGCTCCCTTCCAGAAGAGCTATATTCTTTCAGATTATGTTACTGCTTTTAGCTTTGTTTTGGCTTTACAGTATAACTTGTGCTGCCTTACAGTATGTTGGAAGGGAGGGTGCTTGATCACATTTTCATTAATCTGATCTTGGCTGTACTCCCTCAAATCTATATGTTGAAAGAGTTAGGCATTTATTTTTTTAGCTTTTCCAGATACTACTATCACCTCATAAAAGCTCATATTGCTTTTTTGATATTAAGTCTATTGTATCTTCAGCTCGAGCACCTGCTTTTTTTCAACCAAAGAAAAAACCAACATTTCTACCATTTAACTCTTAGGTTTAGTTTAGTTGTCTATTTTATAATCTTGCCAAATTAATGAAACTAAAAAAAAAACTTTGTGACATTCCACAATCCAAATTTTCCCAGATTTGTACATTCTTTTCCTAGGAAAACCACATAGAATTTAAAAGTGAATTGCACAATTAACACTGCTATTTTTATTTTCCATAAACTTTTTATTATCTTTTTTGATATCTGCAAAACATATGCCATTAAGAGCAGCTTTCATTTTGATTCTTCATATGCTGTCCTGATCTATAGTCTGTCTTCAAAAAGCATTTTTAGTTGTGGGGGGTTTTTTTGTAATTTTAATGAAACAAATATATTAAAAAACTTGGCCATTTCAGTTAATTTCATATTTCTCCATCATGTCCACAAAAATGTCAGTGTTTCCTCAGCCTTCTCCGAATGAATTCAAAGATGACTTAAGACACATCAAGAACATCAGATGGCCCATCAGACTTTGAGGGGCACAAAACTGTTTACAAAAGCTAACAGAAAGAATAGTGACAGCATTAGAGTCACGTCTGGACACCATTAAGTAGAAAGCCTCAGAAAGTGGCTCTTGCTTACAGTTGGGTCAAAGGGAGACAGTCTGAAGCACGAGTCTGGAGGGAAGTGACAGTTCAGACCTCTGGAAATGGAGTAAATCATCTTTATTTGCTCCACTGCCACACCCCAGGAGTGGTATGCAACTTGCTCAAATACTATGATAAAAATGAGCTGAACATGGATTAATTGCTTTTAAGGCCAGAGTAAACTATTTTGATAATCTAATACAGCCTCCTACACAGGAAAGACTGTGGAATTTTCCTCATGCAAAGCAACAAGTTGTAGTGAGTTAAAGCACATCTTTTAGAAATATTATATAAATCAAATATGGGTAGTTTGCCACAGCAATGTGTAAAGCAGTCCAACGGTTAATTACACTTACTGTTTCAAGCAAACTGAAACTTTGCAATGTATTTCCATCTTGACATTGGCTGACTTTAGCTCATAGCCCATGAGATGGCTAGTCAGCAGCCTTCAACCTCTCTCAATTCATTTAATCCTAAAAATGTTCCTGTTTAAATTAAGAACCCCGAAGAGAAAATCTAAGGCTACTGGAGCTAGCTGTGTTTTTCCTGGGTTTTGTGGCCCCTTTGGAAACAGTGCACAGATGTCTTTGCATCACGGAGTGAAAACAATTTTACACCACTTTTC